ACCTCTCACTAAGTTCTTTTGGGTAATCCTCCTAAGGTTTTTCATGCTAGAATGACAAAGTCTCCTATGCAATAGCCATGACTCATCAGATACAGTTTTCAAACAAAAAGTAGTAGGAGAATTAATGCAATTTAAATCTAGCATGTAAACATTATTTACCCTTTTACCATTCAAAACATCTTTATCATTTAGGCTTAATATACAGCTAGTGGGAAAAAATTTTACACAATAACCCTTATCACATATATGGCTTATACTTAACAAATTATGCTTTAAGTCTTCTACCAATAACATATTGTCTATGAAAAAATTCTTAAAATTTCTAATCATACCTGATCTAACCACCTTCCTTGTGGTGTTATCTTCAAGTGTAACCTTGCCTCCACTCCTAGCTTCCAGCGTTATGAATTGAATAGTATCTCCAGTCATATGCTTTGAAAATCCGTTATCTAGGTACCATATGCTCTCACGAGGTCTTATGTGAGAGCGACCCTGCAAAATTATCAAACGTTAGATCTAGGAACCCAAACAAGTTTGGGTTCATCTTTTAGTAATTTATAATCAGATGCATGTATAATATGTCTAGGTTTATGCATCTTAAGTCTCCACACCAAATTAGTTTTCATCTTTAAAGTACAGGTGTGAGCTATATGTCCAAATAATTCATAATTATTACATTTTACTTTTGAAAATGGTTTTATAAGTTTTATAACATTTATCTGTCTTTTCAGGTATTGCATAAATTTAGGATACATAATAGGATTAGTAAAATCTTTAAATTTAGAAGGTATCATATTATCCTCGAGAGCTTTTATCGTTAATTTGTAAAATGAATTCATATATTCCAAAATTCAATTTAAATAATTGATTTTATATAATTTGCTCTTTGATTCATCCTTAAAGTTCTTAAAATCTTTCTCGAGTTCTGCATAGGATGATTTTAAATTCTCATGATTTTTATTCAAGTCATCAAACTCATCAAGTAATTTCATGTGGTTGTTATCAATCAAAGCATGATTTTTCCTAAGGATTTCATATTCCTTTTTAAGCTCTTCCAAATCTAAACTAAGGCTAGCATGCATTTTCTTCATTTTCCTATATGATTCATGCATGTGTTCAGAAACTTCAAAAAGTTCGTCATAAGTTAAGTCACATACCTCTTCTTGATCTGACTGATCAAGATTGTCGGCCATTAAGCATAGATTAGTGACTTCCTCTTCCTTTTTTGTTTCTGACGAGTCCGAAGCTGAGTCCTCCCAAAAAGCTCGTTGAAACTTCTTCTTTCCCTTCTTCACAAATGGTTTCTCCTCTACCTTCTCCTTGCTAGGATTGGCTTTGAGTTTTGGGCAATCCGTCTTTATATGTCCAGGTTTCCTACA